TGGTAAGTTGGAACTTCTGTACTTTATGTCTCTGGGCTGTGTTGTAAGTAGCAGTAGAACCTTTGTAGATACTCCATGCACCATGGACCCTCGGTACCCAAAGCTCGTCAGGTGAATGTGTGACGCGTCTTGACCTGCTTTGCCCACATCCCACGTTTCTAGGAGGTAGTGATACAGATGCGACATTGCTCTGTGTGTCGGGAATCACTGTCACGGTGTATTTAGGACCACTTTGTCTAGTTAACCTGCATCCAGCACTGGGCAGCATTTATGCCATCCGATCTGTCCATCCTTCCATCGGTTACCTGGCATATATTTGTTGGAGACAACACATAATTTGTAATGTAACAATATGACACAAATTCAGGTTAAAGCAAGGGAGTGTTATATAATAAGGACCTCTATGTAATTGTTGTAAATATACAATCGCAAAGACGTAGCTCCAGACAAACAAGTCGTATTTCCCACTTGCGCGTTACATTACTGAACTACCTTCATAAAGCCTAACATGAACCCAGTCGAAACCTACATCACAATGCCACATAACCCACCTATCATAGCCTACACTGCGAATCTATGATATGGAAATATTATGACTCACATACTTCCTTATGTTTATCAGGCGGGACTGTTTGTTATCAAATACACTGTACAGTCCTATTTTTGTCACTCTGAATATATACAAGGAAGAAGGAAATTTGGTCCCATGAGATTCAAACAACAGCAATCTTGTATACATAAGCCGAAGTCAGTCAATGAGAAGTTGATTGGTGTAGCAAACTGATCCAATTAACAAACCAGCGAGACTCACACCTTTCCGCCATTGACAGGCGAGTTCAAAAGTCAGATTAGTGATTTTACGGAAATCACTGACTGTGCTACTCAGACTGGAACTGATAAGGTGCCCCTATTAGTGATATGGAAATCATTAGATAAACAAATGCTTAGGCGGAGGAATTAGGACTTGATCATCTTTTTTTCTACCCTCATAGACATACCTATGTCTCGAATACATCGATAAGTCGAATTTATTACTTGCTCCCCAGCGATTCGACTCATCGGGATTTGACTGTATGTATGTATATCAATATATTTGCTGTGATAGAGACACCCACACCAGAATATTATCTCCGTGGTATTATTTACACAGTGAATGTATATGCTACAGGTACAGTTTGGGCTGGTTCTATAGGAACCTTTCACTGGAGACAATGTTAATGTAGGTTCATCATGATATTAGGTCCATGCAAAAAAAAAATGATGATGGAAATAGAAATTGGGTAACGAATATAAAAACATTGCTGTTTAAAACTGGTTTACACACACACACACACACACACACACACACACACACACACACACACACACACACACACACACACACACACACACCCTCCCACCCCTACCACCACCCCTGACCCGAACGAATTCAGCTTGTATGGGGAATCGCTATCGACACTCGGAACAAGTAAGAATTACAGTCAACTAAAATTGAAATAAAAGATTCAAGTTGAAGCCTTGTAAAATAATTATGCCAACAATTATTTTGCAACCGGTGAAAAGCAAACTGTTGAAATACTGTTTTACATTGCAGGAAGTTGTTTCTAGCATTTGCCACAAAAATCACAATGATGAACTACGACGGGAGTGACTATGTCACCCTACTAAACAAAGAAAATTGCGATCATTTTGGTATGATGTTTGACACACGTTCTGCTGTTTAGGGGGTTACTATTCAACCTTGCCCAGTATCCTTGTCTTTCAACATCTGCGGATGTGAATATAAAAGACAATTAGAGAGTCACATTTTTTACTTATTTAGAATAGATCTTAAAAATCTCTAGGAAATCACTCCGTCAATGAAGCTGATTTGTCACTCTTGTTTTTTACCAAAATAAAAATTAATAATAACTCGACCTGGTAACCTTTTCGATGTTTTGTTGGGTTCATTTTTCCTTTTAAAGATATTATTTAGAATAATAAACACATGGATTTACAAAGCAGAGAATGGGTAGCGACAGATAACCGTGTTTTGAACTCGATCTATTCAATACCATAAGGTTTTTTTATAAGGTCCAATCCTCAGTGCAAGACCCAGAAATACAAAACGCATACCAGGCTTCCAAAGATGTCGTTACTCTGACGAAAGACTTGCTGGTCCTTATTTAGCTGGAATAATAATGGACAAGTGATTTAGGTTTATTGCTATTTATCAATTCAAGTATGGCAGCTGTCTCAGATACGAACACGGCGTCTTCTGCCCAGGTCACGGATTGTACTACGTCGACACTTCAGCGCTCACTTTGGGATCCCTGGAGACGAACTTGGAGACGAACGTTACCACTGTGTACCGTAACGACACTTTATATCTGTCTGTTCATGACTTCGAAGGTGTTCTGTATGCTGGGCCTTTGGAGAGAGGTAAATACATGGAGCCTCATATGTAATATCCATTACGTTGTATTCAGACACAGTATTGAAATGCGTATGCATGTTTGTGGGTGTGAGTGTGCGCGCTTGCCGTTAAACAATTACGGTATATAATTTTACAGTCACAACTATAAACATGAACACTCTTTACTGCCACTTAACAATTCAATAAATCAGCTGTTTTGCGTCACTGAATAAAAATTAAATTATCATTCATTTACGGAATACCAATTGCATTATAAATATGTACACGTTCAGAACGATTTTGAAACTTACCTTTCGTCTACAAGACACAATATTGCCATGAACTGACTATTGAATTTCCTTACAGCGGGGCAGTAGATGTACTTCCTGGAGGCTGTGGGCCACGCTCCTATGTGTACTTTAACACATCCATTCTTGGGGGCATACGTGCTAGTGTCTTCAGGATATATGGTAATGATATATTAGGTAGACTCAAGTTAAGCGTATATGTTGGGTTATTAATTTGGTCGTTGAGGTGTACTGATGATTCCAAAAATACCATTGTTATTTTGGTATCAGATGGCATCAGATAATGCTTCTTATATAGCATATGCTCTGCTGTATAATTATCAAAATAATTCCTTTTGTGTTTCACTCTGCAGGATTATTTATTACCCGCGAAGATCCATGTTAGAATTGGTCTCAGTAACCCATCCTTGTTGTAAACGGCGACTAACGGGATCGGGTGGTCAGACTCGCTGACTTGGTTGACACATGTCATCGTATCCCAATTGCGTAGATCGATGCTCATGATGTTGATCACGATATTGTCAGGCCCAGACTCGATTATATACAGACCGCCGCCATATAGCATGAATATTGCTGAGTGCAGTGTGACGAACCAACAAACCAACGAAATCGTTTCCCGGACATCAGTCTCTAAAACAGCTGTGATGGAGTTATCTTGAATACTTCAGACAATCGTTCTTATCGGTCCATGAGTACTTTTTAGCTTGCACCATGTGATATATGAGATACATCCAGTGAGATATCGATCAAATACAAAGGTTTTAGCAGCACCGTTAGTTATATATATACCCAAGATGTACCAATGCGATGTTCTACTGTGTGGTTGCAATATAGGTACAATGTCAAGATGTTTGTTTGAAAGGTCTTGGACCTATATGTCTAAATACAGACAGTTTTAAATAATAGAATAACAATGATATAGATTCATTAGACATTTTATTCATGTACACAATGTCTTAATGTGTGTCACATGTGCAAATGGTGACACACATGTTCTCTTTGTGACATAGATTTCAACTGAAGTGGTACAACGAGGCTTTCAATCTGACAGTGGTACAACGAGGCTTTCAATCTGACAGTGGTACAACGAGGCTTTCAATCTGACAGAGGTAAACTGTATATCATCATGATTTTACAGGATTTTGTCTCACGATACGACTAAATTACAGTGACACACGTTAACATCCAGATCAGTGCCTTACCGATGTAACACACTACAGTGGTACGGTGTAATATTAAGCAAAGAAATGTGTGTGTCTTTCATAAGATTGAATATAGACTATTTGCAGCCATTATGGCTTACAAGGGAACATAGTATATACAGGATATGTATGTATGTCATCTAGACGTACAATATATATACTAGCATTGCAAGTTCTGTATAATACACTTACAGCTGTTACTGATACAACCAATATGGTTTACAGGAACACATGTTATATGATAAATATACATGGGTTTATGTTATACAAGCTGATAGTACAAGATATATATATATTAGCATTGCAAGTTATGTATAATAAACTTACAGCTGTCACTGATACAACCAATATGGTTTACAGGAACACATGTTATATGATAAATATACATGGGTTTATGTTATACAAGATGGCAGTACAATATGTACTAACATTGCAAGTTATGTATATTATACTTACAGTTGTTATTGATATAGCCAATATGGCTTACAGGAACACATGGTATATATGATAAATATACATGGGTACAATATGTTACACAAGATGTATAATATACTTACAATATGTACTAACATTAAATATACAAGTTATGTACAATTATACTTACAGTTGTTATTGATATAGCCATATATGGCTTACAGGAACACATGGTATATGATAAATATACATACAGTTGGTAGCCAATATGTTATGGTATAAGATACATGTGTATATGTTATACAATATGTACTAACATTGCAAGTTATGTATATTATACTTACAGTTGTTATTGATATAGCCAATATGGCTTACAGGAACACATGGTATATGATAAATATACATGTGTATATGTTATACAAGATGGCAGTACAATATATACTAACATTGCAAGTTATGTTATAATATACTTACAGTTGTTATTGATATAGCCAATATGGCTTACAAGGGTACATAACATATGCTAAATATTAATGTGCAATATAATTTATACTAACATTGCAAGTTATGCCTAGGAATGTACAAATGTCTTAGACTTGAGCCAATATGGCTTATGGCTTACAAGGTATCCCTAACTGGAATATGCGTCTATTTGCATCCTTAGAATATCTATTTGTTGTATATATAAGCAGAAAATAGCAATCGAAACGTTGAAGAGATGCCTCTTCTCAGGAACACAGGGTTCACAGTTTTCTGGTGACCTTGACCCCGATGGGATGAAGAAGCGGGTACTTCCTGCTATGAGGTTTCACTCTTCTTCTTGTGAGAGTCCGATGAGAGCCACCATGCTTGATGGTCACGACATCGCAGTCCCGGGGAGTCAACGGCTTGTGACCGCCCGCAGCTGACAAGATGGAAACATGTATATAAACACGTTGAAAATATTCAATGTCTGCTCCAATGTCTATTATGTTGGTTAATTGTTCATATATTTTACTCTTCTTGAGTGAGTGGGTGGGTGAGGGTGTGGGATGAGACTGGATTAAATCAATGATCGATCATCTGCGCATCAATTCCTAGTTTTGGATTACCATGACAAGGATTTTCCTGTATTTAAGGGTCCCTTGGACTCATACTCTGAATTTTCAGGGGTCCTGGACTACAAAATGGGGGTCCCAGACACTTAAATAGCATAATTAATACAATGTTGTAATATTGTTGTAATTCGGTTACTGTTATTGTATTGTGTATCATGATCATCACATTGTTAGAGTAATTAAAATGCAAATGATACCATAACCCGGCTAGTAGCAAACTCAGTGATGCCGTCTTATGACATGATTGAAATTTTACTTAAAGTATTTAGACTTTGTTTAAAGAGACCAAACAAAATACTAATCATTATTAAGAATTTGAGAATTTCAAGCTAGGAAAACAAAAGCTTGGCTCGCCCGAGGGTATTGTTGGAAACATTACATGTTATCCTTTAAGTAAATACATTTCAAAGACGAGTTACATTTTATGTCACTGTGCCCTATGTATGATGTTTTAACACTCAAATATTTTTTTTCAAATATCTTTTTCTAAAAACAAATGTACTCTCTCTCTCAGAACATTACTACAAACTTCTATATCTTTATTATTGTCATGTTCTTGAGTCAGGGAACCCATGCAAACCGTTTTATGGTAGACACATACGGTACTGTTGTGTGCGATATAGTTCTAAGATGTCATCGCCTTACGTTCTTTATTGTCATAGTTTTAATTGGATGTTAACAATATCTTGTTACTGTGCCACCACTTTGTATATGATAAGTGTATCTACACTGTACTTGGGCCGTTAGCCTTGTTGATTTATTTTTTTTACTTTACTAACAATGTAACCTAACTGACAACGCAAGACCTAAAGTGCCCTCCGTCCATGGCAACACTTACCTTTCTTACTGGAGCCGGAAGCAGCTGGCAGCAGGACAGATCTGATCACGTGACAGTGTCGTGACCGGAAGTCGTCGAATGTCTGTCGTTCAAAGATCCGTGGCGACTTGTGGCGACAGTGGGTGACAATCTGGTTGTCAGGTCCTCTCTGTTCGCAGACAAACACTCGGGGCCTGCCGTCACACCCAGGGGGGACGTACACGACGACCGTGTCTCCTAGCAGTATGTTCATGGGGAGTTTGTCACCTAAGTATACATATACAATGTTGTTGTCCCCGAGTTGTACAATAGTTGTATTGCTAACGCTAGCATTGGAGTCTTTCTTTTGAATAAAAGAAATTGTGTTTCTATTGTGCCCGATTTGTACAATGCGCCGTATATCGATTTGGGGACGATTACAGAGACGCTTCTTACAGCTGTCTGGCTTTTGGTCAGATTGTAAAGACTGGTTGGCATGTTTCATCTTTCCTTTTCTACCTTTCTCTGATCGTAAAAGACGTGTATTTTGGGCATTCATATGCTGAGAACTGTACTCTAATTGTTCGTTTGGCTCGAAGCCAGACGGTGCGACGTGGTACGCCCCCCTAGCTTCAGACATTGCCCCGGAGTTTGAACAGATCCCTGGCTCGTATGTCACCACTCGCCGTTGTCTCTGTGATGACATGTAGAAAGAATTATATCAGCTTCACAAACACAAATCTTAAAACGATTTCATAGAATAGTAACTTATATTGCATACCAGAGCCAGAGAGGTCTTGCGAAGGACATCCAATACTCTGATTGAAGTAAGTCACTCTATAATTCTTAGAAATCTACGTACATGTTTACCCTTAATATAAACGTACACACGTAATTTGACCTGTATAATTTACATGTTAAAGAGGCAGCAACCAGGACAGACATGAGTTCACTTCATCAGCTGTTTGCTGCAGCCTTTGCAGTGGGTCAATCAATATACATATTGATTTGAGTTATGCCGTCATGCTATATGTGTATGTATACATGGGTATATGAGAGTTGTCGTGTCCTCGCATGTGTTTGTGACGAGTGCCAGGATACGCTGGAAAACGCCATATGCCAACACAGTTTGATAGTGAATGAGTTTAGTTTTACGCCGCTTTTAGCAGTATTCCAGCAATATCACGCCGGGGAAACACAAGAAACGGGCTTCACACATTGTACTCATGTGGGGAGTCGAACCCGGGTCTTCGGCGTCGACGCTTTAACCACCAGGTTACCCCACCGCCCCCAATTTGATAGTGCATTACTGACAAATGCCTTTGTTATAGTGGTAAGGTGGGGTCAACCTTTGGGGAGATTCCACAGTATAACTGAAATATTGTTTTGCGAAACTTGTAGGTAACTTTCATGACGGAATTCAGTCGTGGACAAGCTAGGAAAGTAAAGTGAAGAAAGTAACACTTACCTGCCCTGCCTACCACAGCATAAACCTGACACTAAGGGTGACTGTCAGCTCTTATATACTGTCCTGTTTCAAATAGCTACGTCATTGTTAACCAATCAGCTAAGTGCATTCCGAGGTGTGCGTGTTACTGTGCACGCTTGTATAGTGTCACGTGATGCTATCAGCCTCAAGCTTGGTAGGGGCCAGTAAGTCAACAAGGATATATTATCGTCATACCTCACGTGTCACTGTCAACCATCCATTAATACTTTAAAACCATGACTAGTGACTGTCAATAAATAATGCAGATCGGTGTAGACTGCTGTAGATCGGTGTTGATTTAACACATGGGTCATTAATATGCATGAAACTCCTTAAAATGCAAATGAATGCATGATGTCATAGGTCGGCGAGGTTAATGAATCGTAGCTATATGTTGATTGGCTCATCCAAATCACGTGACCTTAGTGAAGGCATGAAAAACTCATGAATATGCAAAGTGAATGCCGGACGTCATAGGTCAGCGAGGTGGTGAACGAATCATAGCTATGACGACGACGACAAGATAAGAAAACTCATGAATATGCAAATGAATGCTATATATAGTCACAGGCCATAATATATATGCAAATAAAATGCCGTATGTCATAGGTCGGCGAGGTTAATGGATCGTAGCTATGACGACAGACTCTGTGGTAAGAAAAAAATCATGGATATGCAAATGTATTTTCAGATCCTGATAAGCTGTCCTCCAATCTTCCTTTTGCCGGATCAACCCGGATCAGACGTTGATTGGCTCATCCAAGTCACGTGATCGTAACAAGGCATGAAAACTCATGAATGCATGACGTCATAGCAAAGCCGCAGTATACGAAGCAGATTTTTGTTTAATTGTGAATCATTTGCAGGGCAGAAAGCCTCCGGAACCACACTGAAAGTTCCTTCCTTATTTCTCTTCAATATCTTAAAGAATATAATACTATGTTATGAGAGTGTGTTTTATGTAATTTGTAATAACACATTGATTAAGTGATAATTAAACCACCTTAAAAATATCTTGGACAACATTCAATCAGTATATCTGTTCTCACCGTGAATATTTTATATTTGTGACCAAACCTTTTAGATTTGTGACTCAATTGCATTGTACTAGAAATCTGTATTGTCATTCTTTGTAGCTTGCTCATTGTTTGTTTAATATATTATTGAAAATTTTAGACTTGTCTTTGTTCTATTTTGCTGGTTCAAACGGGACTCTTAAACCTTTTGTCACGGCAAATTATTAACCGTAACAGCTATCATGTAAGTGACAATCGATGCGAAGCAATTCTTGGAAATTCAGGTATCTCAAGGTCGTCAGGGTCCCTGATAAGCTCTCTTTATTACAAGAGCGTACTTGTTCCTTTGCCACTCAGTGGCGTATACAGATGAATCGTGGTTTAACACATACATCGCTTGTCTAGAGGTGCAATGGCAAACAAAATCTACCTATTTCAGCTAGCGACCTCAGCTTCTGAATTATTTTAACCTGTGAGCACCGACCAAATTACTCCCAGCTATCTACTCCAAAGTGTGGGTAGAGGGTATATCTCGTGTGTGTGTGTGTGTGTGTGTGTGTGTGTGTGTGTGTGTTTGATTGTGTGTGTGCGTGTGTGTGTGTGTGTGTGTGTGTGTGTGTGTGTGTTTGTGTTGAAAGTACTTAAATGCCACACGAGCGGACGGGCTTGTGTCAACACGGTTTGGGGGCTGTTGAATGGACAATCTTATCTCCGCGAGAAACACCCTCAAGAACACCACCCCTAAATAAAACAAAGAGACATTCCAGCCTCAACAACCAGCGACACAACATTAACTTCGAGTTCTATTCGCGACACACGCGTTTGTTTAACCATGCAGTGAAGCGATACGTTTACCGTATGTATTACATTATAGGTAAGAGTAGATGTATGTACATTTGTATATTTTGAAGGTGGTTAAATCAGAGAGGTCGTGGGTTTTCACCTTGTGGAACCTATATTTGTTGCGTATGTATTATCTATCATAAATGTAATGAATGAATGTTCATGTAGGTTTATATCCCAAGACAACTAATGAATGTATGACGTTTTTGAAATAAAACACACGTCTACAAACTTTCTTCAGCTACATGCAACACAAAACTATAACGATTCCCATAAGAAGAGTTTGCTGGTGTTTCCTATATATCCAATATCTTAATACATCAAGTACAGTTCTATGACAACTTTGTGAAACTTACAATCGCAGGGATCATCTCAAAATATATTTGGAGAAATTTACTAAAACCCACGATTTTCGTGGCGAACTGGTCCGTCAGCAAGTCGGGTTCAGACTGTGCTGTTGCTCTCCCGTTGTCATCATTTATGAGGTTGACATGCAGTCGATCCTTGTCTTTCGTGCTAGGTTTCAGATGGATGGTGAGTTGTCCAAAGGGTTTTTCGGCGGCTTTTTCACACATGGCCATAAAGTGATCCATGTTTTCGGGGGGAAACTTTGATTTGTTGTTTATCTATGGGCGAATGAAATAAGCTGACATAATGAGCGTTCAAAGCAATGTCTCTCGGAAACAGGTTTTGTAGCAGAAGGAAGATCAGTACAGTTTTGTGAGGGAGGTTTGAGTGAACAGCCGTGTTAAAAGTGGATGCTAACATACATAAATAGGCTTGACTTAAGAACTGGTTCTTAGCAAGCAGCAAAAATACATGACTTTACAACCGATTGTTGACTTTGTGAATAGGCTAGGATTTAGAAGTGGTTACAAGCACTCAATGTCTAGGCTGGTATTCAGAAGTAGATACTTGCACTCGATATATGTGGTGTCCATGTGTGTGTAATATTACAGCTAAAGAAGCATCATTTGTTAACATTTATCCATGTATCATATAAAGAGAATGGATCTACAGTTAACGCATACGGTAAATCATAACGAAAATACATACCAATCAGATTCTTGACATGTACTGTTTGATGTACTATGATGTTGGAATGGCCGTTCTGCACATTGGTAACATCTGCAACGATGTCCACCATCAGGTTCTGTCCATCTCCATCAACAGCATCTGTTCTGTGTCTGTCGCCATCATCTACGCTCAGTCTTTGTCCTCTTTCGCTGTCCTGTCTTTTCGTAATTCTTTCTCTTTTGATGTAATCTCCTGTCCGCATTCTGCCACCATCAACGTATTGCGGCTGCGCTGTTTTGACAGTACAACGATCTCCTCTCCTTTCGTCTTCATTGCTGTCACATTCTCCCTGCATTCCCACCACAGCACCATCTCCGAGTCCCACCTCTATTCCTCTGCAAACGTCATCGTTTCCTTTATCCATTCCTTCAGTGTTGTAATGGTATTTCTTCCATATTTTACCATCGCCATCACCACATTCTCCCTGTTTTTCACCAACAGAGCCATTTCTGAACCGTCTTTCTCTTCCTCCACCGACAACAGCACCTCCTCCGCCTCCAAGGATGTACTCATCTCTCTCCCATCTTGCTCCAAACCTCTCATATTCCCCCCGTTTTCCATCAACAGTGAGATCTTTGTCTCGTCTTTCTCTTCCTCCATGAAGAACAGATGTATCGCCACCTCCAGTCATATACTGAAATGCCTTCCACCTTCCTCCCTGATTTCCATCAACAACGTCTTCTCCTCCACTTTCCTCATCAATGTCTCCTCTATCTCCACCTCCAATGGTATTTTGATCTCTCCTCCATTTTCTTCCACCACCAAAACAATTTCCACGCTCCTCTCCAAAAGCCTTGTCTATTTTCCTTTTCTCAGCTGAACCAGCACCCCGACCCCTGTCCACCTCAGTTTCCACGACACCAGCACGCCGACTTCTTTCCTTCTCAGTATCGGAGACACCAGAGCCCTGACCTGTTTCCTTCTCAGTTTCCAGGACACCAGTACGCTGACCTCTTTCCTTCCTCTCATATTCTCCCTGCTTTCCACCAACAGAGTCATCTCTGCCTCTTCTTTCTCTTCCTCCACCAACAATAGCGCCTCCTCTACCTCCAAGGATGTACTCATCTATCCCCCATTTTCCTCCAAACCTCTCATATTCTCCCTGCTTTCCATCGACAGAGCCATCTCTGAACCGTCTTTCTCTTCCTCCACCGACAACAGCGCCTCCTTCACCTCCAAGGATGTACTCATTTCTCCCCCATCTTCCTCCAAACTTCTCATATTCTTCCCGCTTTCCATCAACAGTGAGATCTTTGTCTCGTCTTTCTCTTCCTCCACGAAGAACAGTTCTATCGCCACCTCCACCCACACACTGCAATCTCTCCCACCGTCCTCCCTGATTTCCATCAACAACGTCTTCTCCTACACTTCCGACATCAATGTCGCCTCTATCTCTATCTCCACCTCCAATGGTATTTTGATCCTTCCTCTATTTTCTTCCACCACCAAACCATTCTCCCTGCTCCTCTCCAAAAGCCTTGTTTATTTTCCTTTTAGCAGCTGAACCAGCACCCTGACCCCTGTCCACCTCAGTTTCCTCTCGACACCAGCACACCGACTTTGTCCATTCTCAGTTTCGGAGACGTCAGCACCAGCCGACCAACCTTCCATCTCAGTTTCCAAGACACCAGCAACCCGACCTTTTTCTTTCTCAGTTTCCGAGACACAGCATACCAACCTCTTTCAGTTTCTCCACTCTTTCCTTCTCAGTTTCCAGACACCAGCACCCCGACCTCTTTTCCTTCTCAGTTTATCGGAGACACCAGCACCAAGACCTCTTTCCTTCTCAGTTTCCAAGAGATACCAGCACCCTGGCCTCTTTCCTTCTCAGTTTCCAGGACACCAGCACCCCGACCTCTGTCCATCTCAGTTTCCAGAGACACCAGCACCAAGACCTCCTCTTTCCTTCTCAGTTTCGGAGACACCAGCACCCTGACCTCTTTCCTTCCTTTCCAGTTTCAGACACCAGCACCCTGACCTCTTTCTCCTTCTCAGTTTCCAAGACACCAGCACCCCCGACCTCTTTCCTTCTCAGTTTCGAGACACCAGCATACCCTCAGACCTCTTTCCTTTCTCAGTTTCGGAGACACCAGCACCCCACCTCTGTCCATCTCAGTTTCGAGACACCAGCACCCCGACCTCTTTCTTCTCAGTTTCTGGAGACACAAGCAGCACCCTCGACCTCTCTCAGTTTCGGGAGACACCAGCACCCCGACCTCTGTCCATCTCAATATTCGAGACACCTTTATTCCTGCCGCAGATGGCACCAGGCTGTAGTAGCTTTATACCATCTCTTACAGGTGTGGCATTCCTTCTCTCTCCACTCCTATTTTGTCTTTGTCTGTCACCAAAACACTGTCGCATCTCTTTCTGAAACCAAAAGATGGTATTTTGAAACGTATTGCACCAATGATCTGCACTGTAATCTCGAACATTTTAGTTGTTTCTATATTCTAAAATTTTGCATCCCCTATTCCCGTATATCTTCATCCTAAACCCCAATCGAGTGGTATCTGCTGTGTTAAAGAAGTATAGGCAAATACGCACAATAACCAACTAATACTGCCATGTCAAACAGTGAGTGAGTGAGTGAGTGAGTGAATTTTAGCATTTCAGTCAGCAACTACATTACAACCTCCACGAAATCCAGACCAGATAAACCGGTGATAGGAACAGGATAACGCGCCATCAGTCTAACATCCCGATCATCCGTGTCTCATAGAACGTTTATTGTATCAAAGGCCATTGGCCCATATACATGAAATGCATATGCGTCAATATTTTCACAAAAGATTTGCATTTCATTTCTGCTCTTAAAGGCACATTTGAAGTATAACATAACAAATCTTAAATCTTGATAATTTGTGGTTACCCTTGGGCAAATGCATTTTTGTACTGAAGGTCAAATTAAATATTTATTTGGTATGTATTGCTGTCGAACGTTATTTAAGGATACACATATAAGGGTGAAATGGTACAGATCTTCGAGATTGTTTAACTTACATGTACATACTATTTCAGACTTTGCAATTTTATGATGTCTCCCGGTATCAATATTTAGCCTTGTACATCCCCGAGCACGAGTAAGGTCGAATCTATTACATATTTCCCTGCTTCAAGGCTAATCTTGAACGTGCATAGTATTGATGTCTAGTGCTAGGTGCTAATATATTTGTCCATTCTTGGGTGTACGTATATATTAATCTGGTTTGAAAAATGTTAAGCTAGCTATACATCCAACGTCTTGGTAGACCCGAATATGACCAGGACCTGAACTAAATAAAATATGTCTAACATTACTTGCTCAGTTCAGTCTACCTACTGAATCAACTGAATAAAGATTAACCAACGTTCTGTAGCCTTATCAGCGCACCGTGACACCACCAGTGGAGTACATTACACAACAGGTACACGGCGTTTTCACTCAGTCTCAGTCAGAGATAACACAGTGACGTGTGTACCAGTAACTATTAATCGAACAGTAATCATTGTGACTCACCCAGCAAACACAAATTACGGAAAAATACAACACATCCGTTTGGCACGTTGCCAGACATGTCGGTGACTACCTGCAAATAGTACTGTGTGTGGTCGTGCACAGAAATCAATAGCTGCAGTCAATGCATTATGGCAATATCACACCGGCGTTCAGGGGCGGATACAGGATTTTCTTTTGGGGTGGGGGTGCACCCCAATCCTCGGAACCCTGGGCATAAAACATGTAGTACATTTGGAACACTCTTTGGGTGCGCACCCCTCCTCTGGATCCGCGCAAGGGCGTTCAATGCCCTGCGTGCTTCAAGTAAATGTACATTGAACATAGATATTGAGTATACGTTATAGGTATTATAAAGCTATCCAAACATCAACTCAAACACCTCTCCCTCCTTCCATTGCACCTTTGGGATTCAATTGTATTTTCACACATTTGTATTTTTAGAAACAACGACATTTTACTTATTTAAGACAGAATATAGACAGAATATTTCGTTTTATTCGATATTCAGTCAGTATGTACATGGTATACAAGTGAAATAATATATTTCATATTTTCATTAAAATGGATTCGAGGTCCTAAGACCCAAATGATTCCGCGAATAGCCTCTGAAAATTTTCCTATTTTCGCTTTCCTTCTTTCATTAGTGTCGTGTTATTGATCAAATGTTTTACTGTAAATAGGAAGGTGAGGTGAGGTGAAATTGGGTTTAACATCGTGCTTGAGAATATTTCGCTCATATGACGACGTGCATGCGTGTGTATGTGTATGTGCGGCTGCTTGTACTAGCCAAGACTGAAGCTGGTTATATTGCTAGCTCACTGAGATACCATGCCGCAGTGAAGCATGAATACCCCACTCAGACACATTATACTGACTCCGAGCCGACCAGTCGAGCCGACCAGACCAGTCCATTAATGCCGAGCGCCAGGCAAGGACCAACAAGTACCATATTTTAACGTCTTTTGGTATGACGCGGCCGGGGATCGAACCGCGACCTTCCGCTCTCCGGGCGGACGCTCTAACCACTACACCACGGAGGCGGTCGTAAATAGGAAGGAGACAACCTGTCCATAATCATAATGGACGACAAAAACTGATTGTATTGTACGATTCCGACTGAACCTCTGAAACTGACCACCATCCCATGTCACTGTATGCAACAAACAAGGCCGACTTTCCAGTCTATTGTAAATGCATGTACGATAAGGTCCTTCACAGTGCTTCTAAACAATGTTTTCACGAAGTACACACATAATAGATTTACACACATTCTTCTATGTCCGTCAGTGGGCAAAAATGCGCTGTGAAATATTGGTACTAACCTTATTTGAGACTTGTGTATGCGATTATAAGCATAGAATTGTCACCAGAGCTATGACGTGATCATATGCAAAGCGCATGCGTACAGAGAGCTCTGTTGCTGACTGTGTGTTATGCAATACTACCAGACTTACGCTTTGACTCTGAAAATACTTAATTTTGATAGAAATAGTTTCTAAGGCTCGGGGGCAATACATCGAGTCTACTTCTTTGTGTACTGAAAAACTGAAAGAACTGTTCGTAAACTTTGATAAATTATCTATGTCACCGTTCATCGCTGCATCACTTAGTAAGACGGAATCTGTGGCTGGGTAACTTTGTGTAAAGTTGATTGATTCAATGAAAACTAAGATAACTAGTTTATCATATCTTCTTTGTGTGGCATTTTTGAAGTTGGGAAGTAAAATATGCAACAATTCACCACTCGGACAATTCCCCACACAAACAATTCCCCAGACAATTTACAATTGGTGCTGCATTTCCTAAATTCTAAAGATATGACGATCGTAGACTGACAGCGTCTTTCACAAAATTTGCCAGGTTTTTTAACAATAAAACATCAGAGGACTGTAGCATTCTTACAAGATTCTCTCTGTGACTGATAGTGTCCAGGTGTAAGTAAGGAGAATATTTAAGACGTATATCATGATAAACAGGACAAACAAAAATAAAATGAATTTCATTTTCAATAGCATTTAAACTACATAGTGGGCAACAACGGGTGTTTTTGTCCATACCCTGCCTCCTTCCTGTATTTTGCATTATATCGAGTTCGCCGATTCTGAACAAGGTAAGCATGCGTGCGTATTCTTTACGTGACCTGTTTAGGTATAGCTCGGGAAAGATGGAAACTTTGAACTCTGCATAAAAATTTAGTTTGGAACAGTTTGACACCTCAGAACACCATGTTTGTGTATAACAATCTTTAACCCTGAGCTTAAATTCATTTATGAAGCAACCCACATCAGCAACACCTTGGCATTGCCAAACTATTCCAAAACCTAGAGAATACAATAGACGCTTAAAGGTCACATAAACCCTAGGGGGAACAAATACATAAATCACTAACTGGCATCGTTATAAATGAAACCCCGTCATTAAAACTACTCATTTCGACCTTTAATTGACTTAAATCGACCTTTTTGACAACAGTGCACAATTCTCACCCGCGAACGAAATTTCAACCAATCAGAGAGTCGCGCCTCTGTGACGTCATATGAGGAATAGCTTTGAGGGCCGATGCAGAATTCATCTACATTTTAGGGGTTAAATTATCTTGTTTACAGGCTTGTATAAACCTGAAATTGTGACAATTGTTGTGGAAAATGAAAGCGATATGTTCTCACAATCTACTGTCATTTAATTTAGTCTCCTGCTTTGCCTAGTTTCCGAGTTACAACTTGTTTTCATAGACGATTCTGTCAAAATCGATTGGTGTCGTTAGGCCCTATTTGTATAATGACTGATCCAAATTGATCCCATTTCTGTGTTTTTTTACCTCGATATTTAATCATGTCATGTAAAAATCTGTTTGTATTCTCAAAACAGTGTCGGCCCATAAGTTTTCACATGCAATACAGCAATTAATACTCCCTTGTTGTATCCCGTGTTAGGTGGTATAAACTTACACATGTTATTTGTCATCATTCACTTGATGGTCAGTTAATGAATTTATAACAGGTATAATTAGTGGTAACACACTTAGATTACCTGACAAAGG